TGCTAATCAAGATGGTCAATTGAAACATTCACACCTACCTCCAACAGACAAGAGTTCTTTCTTCCACCCTGGATGTGATTTCACAAATATATAAACTCCATTTTTTCTAGTTTCCAACATTCACAACCTCTAAGAATGCCCACCATAGATGTGGGCGAAACGTCAGGAGAGAATGCTTCTGGAACATGACTAGACAGCCCGAAAAACTTACAAGTCAGTGATTCCAGCCATGAAAGCCTTCAACAATACTTTGAGAGTTATATTTATCAGCAGAATTTTTGTCCATTTTATTTATTTATGTACGACATTTATATACTGCCCTTCTCACCCCGAAGGGGACTCAGAGCGGCTTACAAGTAAATACAATATATTGTTAGCATAGCACAATATCATACATTCCCATATTGTACTATACCACTATACTGTAATATTATTAGTAATATTACATGTCATATGGAATATATATGTATTATATTGTATTATTATTAATATTATATTGTATTATATTATAATATTATTATCAATATTATATGTGTATACAATATATTATTAGCACAGCACAATATTAGTATTATATATTACTATATTGTATTATGCCACTTTACTGTAATATTATTAGTAATATTGCATGTAATATAAAATATAATTCTTATATTGTATTATTATTATATCGTATTACATTATAATATTATTATCAATATTATATGTGTATACAATATATTATTAGTACAGAACAATATTAGTATTATATATTACTATACTGTACTATACCCCTATACTGTAATATTATTAGTAATATTACATGTAATATGGAATATATATTTATTATATTGTATTATTATTAGTATTATATTATAATATTATTAGCAATATTATATGTGTATACAATATATTATTAGCACAGCATAATATTAGTATTATATATTACTATATTATACTATACCACTATACTGTAATATTATTAGTAATATTGCTTGTAATATAAAATATATAGTTCTTATATTGTATTATTATTATATTGTATTAAATTATAATATTATTATCAATATTATATGTGTATACAATGTAATATATTATTAGCATAGCTCAACATCAGTAATATATTAATCTATATATATAAATCTGTTAGGTTGGTTTAACCGGACAGCAAAACTCCACAACCCCCCAACGAAACTTAACCAAAATTCCCATGCCCATAACACAACCCACAAGGTACAAACATATCTACTCAAAATGAAAAACAACACAACAACACACTCACAAAACGGCAAAACAACAAAACTCAAAAATACCCCAACGAAACTTAACCAAAATTCCCATGCCCATAACACAACCCACAAGGTACAAACATATCTACTCAAAATGAAAAACAACACAACAACACACTCACAAAACGGCAAAACAACAAAACTCAAAAATCCCCCAACGAAACTTAACCAAAATTCCCATGCGCATAACACAACCCACAAGGTACAAACATATCTACTCAAAATGAAAAACAACACAACAACACACTCACAAAACGGCAAAACAACAAAACTCAAAAAACCCCCCAACGAAACTTAACCAAAATTCCCATGCCCATAACACAACCCACAAGGTACAAACATATCTACTCAAAATGAAAAACAACACAACAACACACACACAAAACGGCAAAACAACAAAACTCAAAAAACCCCAACGAAACTTAACCAAAATTCCCATGCCCATAACACAACCCACAAGGTACAAACATATCTACTCAAAATGAAAAACAACACAACAACACACTCACAAAACGGCAAAACAACTGAGCATGCGCATTGGCGCCCAGCCGCAAGTTCCCTGGCGGGCTATACTTGGAACAGCCTTCGGCGGTCGCCACGTTCCCTCTGCGGAAGGGCCATGGGCCTCACGATTCAAGGGGCCAGCGGCCGTCCAGCGCCGCTATTCCGACGGCACACAACCCCAAGTACTACAGCGCTCTTAGGCCGAACGCACACTACACACGCAACCCTCCACGCTCGCTTATGCACGTCCACCGCTGCCCGCACACACTAGCTACACGACAACCTCCACTCCCGGCCACCCGTTCCTGCCGCACACACACGGGCTAACGCTCCGATCATCACTTTCCCCACCCCAGGGCCGCACACACTAGCACGCTACCTAAGACGCCACCTCCATCACTCCCGCCCGTCCGCACTCACACACTAATAAGCAGGCTAACGCCATCTCTCCATTCATTCCCCTTGCCTATGTCCGCCCGCACGCACTACACTTATACGTCAATCCCCTTACTCCCCCGCGCGTCGTCGCACAGTCTGAGTCAGGGGTGTGGATACAACATCGCAACCAATGCCGACGCTCGCAATCATTGCCTCCTCGCCACCACAGCACACCACACATGCCCACCTCCTACGGCTCCTTTCCACTCCCGCCCGCTGCCGGGCATCACATCTCAACACGCAACCCACGTCTCGCCCGCCGCCGCAGCTACACGGGCAACCTCACAAATACACACAGCATCACATTTTCCCCGCCGGATCGCCTGCATCAGACACAGTCTTTGAACGACGCGAACTCTTCCACGCTTGTCTCCATCACGGAGTCGCCCGCCACCCCCGCCAACGCACACACTACACGCGAGAACCCCACTCGTATCTTCGCCTACCTCTAGCTCGCCGGCACACTTCTACTGTACGTTCCTCACATGCAACCCACTCGCCGCCCGCGCTGCACACACTACATCTCTAGCCTCCTATGATTTACTCTCCATCATTCCCGTCCACCGATCACATAGCACATGCACTCATCTCATCCTCTTTGAATTCCATCATCTCCCCTGGCCCGCCCGGCACCACACACGCGAACCCTTGCATGCTCCATCATCCTAGACTGCCTCCCCCTTCGCTACCGCAGCACGACACACGCACCGCCTACATATCTCTCGCCCTCATCCCTCCCCCAGCCGCCGTTCACCACCACACAAACCGCACTGTACACCAATATTGGATCGCGAAACCCACGCTCGCACTCATGCAGAGCTCTCGTCGCCGGCACAACCAGAGCCACTTACGCAACACGCAACTCCATCACTCCCGCTCGCCGCCACACACACGCAACCCCACGCTCCATCACTCCCCCCCCCGCCGCACACACACACACAACCCCACGCTCCATCACTCCCCTGCCCCAATCTTACCTCCTTTTACTTCACGCCACCTCCAAACCCCACCCCGCTCCTTCCCGCCCTGTCAAAATCCAGGAAAGACGGGAAGGAAGGAAAGAAGGAAGAAAGAGAAAGGGAGGTAAAGAAAAGGGGGAAGGAAGGAAAGTTAGAGAAAGAAGGAAGAAGAAAAGGAAAGAAAAGGAAAGATGGAAGGAAAGGAAGAGAGACAGCAGAAGAGAAAGAAAAAGGGGGAAGGAAGGAAAGAGGTGAGAAGGAAGAAAGAGGGGAAGGGAAGGGAAGAGGGAAGGAGAAACAGGGAAGGTAAGGAAGGAGGAGAAGGAGGGAAGAGAGAAGGAAGGAGAAAGAGAGGAGGTGAAAGGAGGGGGAAGAGAGAGAAAGAGGGAGGGAAGGAAGTAAGGAAATAGGTAGAAGGCAGATAAAGAGAGCTCAGATGTAGTAGAGAATGAAGAAGGAGAAAGGGGGAGGGAGAAAGAAGAAAGGAGAAGGAAGAAAAGAGAAGAAGAAGAAAGAAAGGAAGGAAGGAAGAAGGAAAAAAAAGGAAAGGAAGGAAAGAGGGAAAGGAAGGAGGAAAGAAGGAGAGAAAGCAGGAGGGAAGGAAAGAAGAAAGAGAAAAGGAAAGAAAAAGCGAAGGAAGGAAGGAAAGAGGTAGAGAGGAGAAAGGAAAGAAAAAGGGAAAAGAAGAAAGAGGGAGTGAGGAAGGGGGAAGATGTAGAGAAAGAGGGAGGGTAAGGAAAGAAGGATAGAGAGAAGGAAGAAAAGAGACCAGAAGAGAAAGAGAAAGGGGGAAGGAAAGAAGGAGGGAAGGAAAGAAAAAAGGGAATGAAGGAAGGAAAGAGGGAGTGAAGGAAGGGGGAAGATGAAGGATGATGGGGTTAAGATATATAATTGTATCTATGGATAGCTAGCTAGAAGAGAGATAAGGAAGAGATAGAGAGAAAGAGAAGGAAAGGGGGGGGAGAAGGAGGAAGAGAGAGGAAGAGAGGGGAGGGAAGGAAGGAAGGAAGGAAGGAGGGAAAGAAGGAGAGAAAGAGGGAAGGTTGGCCACAGCAACACGTGGCGGGTAAAGGTTGTTATTTCTATTATTATTATGCTATTATTATTCCTATGAGACCCTTTTGGGGGGAATGGGAGAGGTGTCAGGTCCCAGAGGCAATGCATTGCATTATTGTTATTGTTATGATGGTGGTGAAATAAAAGGAAATAAAAAGTGAAAGAAGGAAGCAAACAGGGAGGGAAGAAAGGCAAAGGAAGAAAGGGGGAGGGAATGAAGGAAAGAGAGAAGGATGAAACCAAGTAGTGAAAGAAGGAAAGAAAGAAAGAGGTAGAGAAGGAAGGAGAGAAAGGGGGAGGAAAAGGGGGAAGGAATAGGTAGGTACCTCTCTTTCATAATAGTCCAGATATCTACCTCAACTTTGATAAGTTTTACTATAGGCCACAGCAACGCGTGGCAGGGCACAGCTAGTACTATATAATAATATATAAGCCTTAAAGTACCAGTTTGAATAGCAGTAAAAGTGCAACAGAATTTTTTTGAATTTTTTAACTAGTGATTTAGCATATTAAAAGAAATCACACTTGAAGTTTATTTCTGTTGGGTGTTTGGGACCCATGTGCCCAAAATTGGTGTTTCCGATCTAGCGCAGTGGTTCTCAAACCTTTTTGGACATGCTGGTTTGGAAATGAAGAGAATACATTGTAAATATATCAACAGACCTTTATTTTGGTACAGATGAAGGTGGTTGGGACTTGGGTGGAGGTGGGTGGGATAATCCTCCAGAGCTGAGCCATCTGGCTGATCTCCATTCCCTGCTTTCCTCTTTTCTAGAACATCGAACTGAAAGTCGAACTGGAAAGCTTGAAACAAGAACTGCAGGAGCGTGAACGGTTGCTTGTCAAGGCTTCGTAAGTGTCACCTCTTTTTTTGCTTCTGACCACCTCACCATTTGAATGTGTGACAATGTCCTCATAAGATTGTTTCCCTCATGTTTTGGTCCAGGGATCCTCCTTAGTAGTCTGCGTTCCAGATGGCATGGCCGATTAGGATTGGGACCCCTGGGGGGTCGTGAGGTGGATGTCAGAGTGGTCTCCAAAGACCATCAGAAAACACAGTATTTTCAGTTGTTTATGGGGGTTCTGTGTGGGAAGTTTGGCCCAATTATATCACTGGTGGGGTTCAGAATGCTCTTTGATTGTAGGTGAACTATAAATCCCCGCAACTACAACTCCAAAATGGCAAGGTCTATTTTTCCCAAACTCCACCAGTGTTCACATTTGGGCATATTGAGTATTCGTGCCAATTTTGGTCCAGATCCATCATTGTTTGAGTCCACAGTGCTCTCTCAACGTAGGTGAACTAGAACTCTAAAACTCAAGGTCAATGCCCTCCAAACCCTTCCAGTATTTTATGTTGGTCATGGGAGTTCTGTGTGCCAAGTTTGGTTCAATTCCATTGTTGGTGGAGTTCAGAATGCTCTTTGATTGTAGGTGAACTATAAATCCCAACAAGTACAACTCCCAAATGACAAAATCATCATCATCAACAACAAAACTTTATTTATATACTACTCTAAATTACCCCTATATTTGTTTACTGTGTAAGAATAAGCCGAAAAGCTCAAATTTTCATTGGTAGATGGACATGAAGGTTGAGCATTTTTTTGGATAGCCTTTCCGTCTATTGATGGCTATGCGTCTTACCAGTTCTACCCAATTATGCAATGGGTTAAACCCTTGTGCTGGTTGGAATGCTGACCAAAAGGTTGAATCCAGGGAGCAGCATGAGCTCCCGTCTGTCAGCTCCAGCTTCTCATGCGGGGACATGAGAGAAGCCTAGAGTACAATAATGTAAATGTAGTAATAATAGAGTAAAATAATAAATGTAATAAAATGACAATAGAATAAAATAATGTAAACGTAATAAAAATAATAGTAATGGAGTAAAATAAAATAAATGTAAAGCATCAGGGTGTCCCCTGGGCAATCTCCTTGCAGACGGCCAATTCTCTCACACCAGAAGTGACTTGCAATTTCTCACATTGGTCCTGACATTAAAAAAAAGTCATTTTCTGGCCCAGCTTCAAATTTCCTTTCTAAAGCAGAGGTGCACTGTTTCCATAAGTGCTTCATACTTTAGCTTGGACTTGAAAAAAAATTTGTGATGGAACCCCTAGAATGCTTTTGCAAAACTCTAGAATTCAGTGGAACACAATTTGGGATCCGCAGGCTTAGAGGACTCTGTGCTCTGTCTTTGCAGGAAGGCAGTGGAAAGCTTGGCTCAAGGCGGCGATGCCGAGATCCAGCGCCTGAAGGAGGAATCTCATAAGAAAGTCCTGGAAGTGGAAGAGAGCTTGACTAGCAGGATCAACCTTTTGGAAGAAGTGAGTCTCTCGGTTTCGTTGAGCCATTGCCATCTTCGGTGATACTTCCCTACACAAAACCAACCTCCCACCAGCTCTGGCCAGAATAGCAAATGGTTGGGGAAGTTCTTGTCCACCTGTTTCCTATATAATATGGCGTGAGGGGAGTGCTTCTTGGGCAGAGAGAGTAAAATAATATAAATGTAATAATAATAATAATAATAGAGTAAAATAATGTAAATGTAATAATAATAATAGAGTAAAATAAGGTAAATGTAATAAAATAATAATAGTAATAAATTAATATAAATGTAATAATAATAGAGTAAAATAATGTAAATGTAATAAAAATARTAATAGAGTAAAATAAGGTAAATGTAATAAAATAATAATAGAGTAAATTAATATAAATGTAATAATAATAGAGTAAAATAATGTAAATGTAATAAAAATAGTAATAGAGTAAAATAATGTAAATGCAATAAAAAGAATAGAGTAAAATAATGTAAATGTAATAAAAAGAATAGAGTAAAATAATATAAATGTAATAAAAAGAATAAAGTAAAATAATGTAAATGTAATAAAAAGAATAATAGAATAAAATAATACATGTAATAAAATAATATAAATGTAATACAAGTAATAATAGAGTAAAATAATATAAATGTAATACAAGTAATAATAGAGTAAAATAATGTCAATGTAATAAAAATAAGAGTAAAATAATGTAAATGCAATAAAAATAATAATAGAGTAAAATAATATAAATGTAATAATAACAACAGAGTAAAATAATAAATGTAATTATAAATAGACTAAAATAATATTGTTGCAATAACAACAATCTATATAAATAAAAATGTAATGTTTGTGGGATTAACATAACTCAAAAACCACTGGACAAATTGACACCAAATTTGGACACAAAATACATATCAGACCGAGTTATCATCACCTATAAAAATACTGGAAAACATAGCAGAAGGGACTATAAAGCCAAAAAACCAAAAATTACATTACAACACATGCGCAAAACTACACACACATATATTCAAACACACATATACACAAATATATATATATACACACCTAAACACACAAACATATATACACAGACTGGGCCACAGCAACGTGTGGCAGGGGATGGCTAGTAATAAATAGAATAATAAATATAATAATAATATTAATAAATAGAATAAAATAATCCATGTAACAATAATAGAGTAAAATAATACGTATAATAATAATAATAATAATAATAATAATAATAATAATAATAAATAGAGGAAAAAATACATGTAATAATAATAACAACAGAGGAAAACAATAACTTTGACTCGAGTATAAGCGTAGGGGACTTTTTCAGCCTAAAAACAGGAGTGAACAACTCAGCTTATACTCAACTTAATACGGTACATATATGATGTTTCCCCTTTTTGTCTGTTTAACTAATTTAGCTATTATAAAACCCAGTACAGGAGTCTGTGTCCACTTCTTTCTCTGAAAGTGCCTGATGCACTCTATCCTATGGATTAAAGAACATTGTTAAGGTTCAAAAAGTATTCCTATATTGGCCTCATGAGGTTTGGAAATAACATTCCAGGTCTTGCCAGCCTTGGAAGCACATTGTTCAATTTGTTCTGGGTGTAGGATCTTAAAATGGCGCAGGAGGAAGCGGAGAAGGCCTTTGCGGCGACGGAGCGGGAAAGGGTCCTGAGGCTAGCCGCCGAGCAACAGCTCTCTTTGATGTCGAACATGCAGCCGAGGGACCAGGATGTGATGGCGGCTCTCGAAGAGAAGGACAGGTGAGGGCCTGCTTCACTTGGGTGGCGGGTAGTATGGTGTTTGTGGAGGGCATTGGCAGGGCTCTTGGACATGTTCATGGCACTCACTATAGCCTGCAATGTCATTGGGGGGAGGGCCAATGTGACCTACACGAATGACGGATGTGGACCAAACTTGGCACCCAGACCCCCGCCCCCATGACCCACTTTACATCCTGGTGCAGTTTGGGGAAGGATGGACCACAGATGATGAGATTTGTACTACTTTCACCCGATTCAGCACCAACGTCAACAGACCACTGCGACCCCCACTAATGACACACATGAGTAGTGGGAGCTATAGCTTTTCGTGGAGGCGGGAGCCACATATACACATAAATATTTTCACTTTTATTATGTGTATAGATATAATACATTGTAGAAAATACACGATTGGAGTAGAAGAAAAAAATGAAGGACTTTGTGGATCCACAAGTCTGAGAGAGTTAGGGTTCTGCGCAAAAAATATTTACCAGTAGCTGCTCTAGATAGCAAACCATCACTTCTGGTTGGGCTTGTTGCAGTTTTGTAAAGAACATTTACATTATTTTACTTTGTTATCATTATTACATTTATTATTTTGTTTTCTTATTGTTGTTATTATTACATTTATTATTTTACTCAATTATTATTATTACATTTACATTATTTTACTCTTATTATTTTATTACAGTTATTATTTTATTTGGTATACCTTTTGGACTTTTATCTTGCTGTATCTGTATTGTAATGTTTCTGCCTTGACTCTTAAGGCGTATAGAGCAGCTGAGCTTGTCCCTGAAAAATCAAGAAGCCCTGATCCAGAGCCTGGAAGAGGCCGCGTCCCAGAGGCAGTCGGCGGAGGAGAGATTGCCAGCGGAAAAAATCCAAGGCCTTTCAGCGGCTTTGATGCGAGAGAAAGAGCAGGAACCAGAGGTGAGCGGCCTGCTCTCAGAAGCACAGAGGTTATTTCCAAAATGCTGGTATTACCTCCTCTCTGAAGCTGACCACTCTTGACTTATTCTCTTCTTTTTGATGGATAGCTAAAACGTGATGGCTCCAGTGGGCATTTGGGCTGAACTGAGCACTACCTTGATAATTCAGTCTCAAGAAATAGTTTCTGTGATGGCCGTGGTGGGCCTTTAGCAGCTTGGAAGGTTGATATTGCCAAGCAGATAATCTTCTGAGGATGCTTGCCATAGATGCAGGGGAAACATCAGGAGAGAATGCTTCTAAGAACATGGCCATATAGCCTGAAAAACCTACAACAACCCAGATATCCCTATGTTTACATTGACCTAATCTGTTTAGTCGAAGACGGCTTTTAGGGCTGAGATGAAGGATTATGATTAAAGATTGCTATTTATTTGTCGTGTCAGAAGTGAATTGAGAATACAGTTATAATGTATAGAAAAATCACAAACAAAGTTAAAAACTTGGCATTATACTAAATTTCCTTTGACCAGAAGCGGGCCACTTGGAGTGCCTATGTTGTCGCTGTGAGAAAGTCTTCCATTGTGCATGTGGCAGGGCTCAGGCTGCATTGTAGTAGATTGTCTGTGGTTTGTTCTTCTCCACACTCACATGTCATGGATTCGACTTTGTGGCCCCATTTCTTAAGGTTGGCTCTGCATCTCATGGTGCCAGAGCGCAGTCTGTTCAGCACCTTCCAAGACGTCGTCTTCTGTGTACACAGGAGGGAGTCTCTCATCCAGCATCAGCCACTGACTAGGATTCTGGATTTTAGCCTGCCACTTTTGGACTCTTGGTTGCTGAGGTGTTCCTGCAAGTATCTTTGTAGATCTTAGGAAGCTATTTCTTGATTTAAGGCATTGGCATGCTGGCTGATATCCAAACAGAGGATGGGTCGGAGATGTCACTGCCTTGATCCTTTCATTTTTGGCTGCTACTTCCCAATGGATGTCAAGTGGTGCGATACCGACTAAACAGTCTAATTTCTCCAGTGGTGTTGGATGTAGACATCCTGTGTTAATGTGGTATGTCTCATTAAGAGCCACATCAACTGTTTTAACGTGCTGAAATGTATTCCACACTGGGCATGCATATTCTGCAGCAGAGTAGCAATGCGCAAGGGCAGATGTCTTCACTGTGTCTGGTTGTGATCCCCAGGTTGTGCCAGTCCGCTTTTGTATGATATTATTTCTAGCACAGACCTTTTTGCTTGATATTCAAGCAGTGCTTCTTGTAGGTCAGAACACAGTCCAGGGTAACTCCCAGGTATTTGGGTGCGCTGCAATGCTCCAGTGGGATTCCTTCCCAGGTAACCCTCAGAGCTCAAGATGCTTGTCTGTTCTTAAGTTGAAAAGTACATGTCTGTGTTCTAAATGGATTAGGAATCAGCTGGTTTCCCCTGTAATAGGCAATAAGAGCACCTAAAGCTTCAGAGAACTTCTGTTCAACCATTTCAAAGCTCCCTGCTTGGGTGGTGATGACATGATCATTAGCATAGATGAAACTCTTTGTCCCTTCTGGCAGTGGCTGATCATTTGTGTAAATGTTAAACATGGATGGAGCAAGGTTGTTGTTCTGTTTTCGCCATCTTCTTTGGCCTTGGAATTCAACAAAAAAGCTGTTTTATAGCAGATTTCCTATGAAGTGAGTGAAGTAGTTGTCCTTCACAATTATACATTTTTTTTTTACAATTATACATTTTTTTAGGAGGAGGTAATGATTTACAGTATCTTAAGCTGGTGACAGGTCTATGAAGACAGCGCCTGTAATCTGATGTCTTTCATTGAGTTGTGATGTGCAGTTTTTCCCTTTCCTGAAACCAGCTTGCTGTGGGATCATAAATGGGTCTATTTTTTCCGTAATTTGGTGCGGGATAAGTCTTTCCAGAACTTTATAAAGATGGCACAATAAGGAGATTGGTCTATCGCTTTTTGGATCATTCCCTGCCCATGATAAGGCATAACCCAAAATCTGTGGCATTGGGGACTATAATAATAATGATGATAATAATAATAATAATAATAATAATAATAATAATAATAATAATAATTAAACTTTATTTATACCCTGCCACCATCTCCCTGAAGGGGACTCGGGGCTGCTAACATGAGGCCAAGCCCAAAGAAACAATACAGGAAAATAAAGTGCAAAATACAACAACAAATATTACATCACAATAAAGTACATTCAGTGGCAAAATAAAGTAAACAAAGCAAAATAGCATAATAGAAAAGCGAACACAATGGGCGGGCCAAATAGACAAGATAAAATTATAATTTCAAGTTTTAGTTGCAATGATGGCACGCTTTGGCTGGAACTGTTAAGAACCCGGGTATCTCTTTGTCATTTACGACTTGGCTGTTTCATTCTTGTAGGCTCTCGGCCCAGAATTCAGCAGTGAGAAAGCCGACTTGGAGAAAAAGATTCAGGTATGTTATGGCACCCTTCCCAGGGCCAGTGTTTGCTTCTGCTCCTCTTATACGAGGGGCTGCTGATCAGTCTTTGGCTTTACCCAGAAAGAAAGGAGATAGGAAGATGAAACTTGACATTTATTCCACATACACTCCACTGATATCAACACACTTCTTACATCGGTATTAAAGGTTCTGTAAGCCTTGCAAAACAAAGGATTTCAGTTGTGCCTCAAACCAGTCATTCGTAGCAATGGTGTGAAATTTATTTATTAATTATTTTATTTGCAACATTTATATGCTGCCCTTCTCACCCCGAAGGGGACTCAGAGCAGCTTACAAGATATATATATACATACAATATATTATATTACTAGCATAGTACAATATCAGTATTAATTATTACTATATTGCACTATACCATTATATTGTAATATTATTAGTAATATTACATGTAATATAAATATATAATTATAATATCATATTATTAKTAGTAGTATTAAAAGATAGTATTCTTGAGGTGCCTCAAACCAGTCATCTGTAGCAGCCATGTCATCAGAAATGGTGTGAAATGTATTTATTTATTATTTTATTTATTTATTTATGACATTTCTATGCCGCCCTTCTCACTCCAAAGGGGACTCAGAGCGGCTTACGATATATATATACACACACACACACACACACACACATACACATACACATACATACAATATATTATATTATTAGCATTGCACTATATCAGTATTAATTATTACTTTATTGCACTATACCATTATATTGTAATATTATTAGTAATATTACATGTAATATAAATATATAATTATAATATCATATTATTAGTAGTAATATTAAATTTAGTACCCTTGAGGTGCCTCAAACCAGTCATCCATAGCAGCCATGTCATCAGAAATGGTGTGAAATTTATTTATTTATTATTTATTTATTTATTTAAGACATTTATATGCCACCCTTCTCACTCCAAAGGGGACTCAGAGCAGCTTACAAGCTATATATATATATATATATATATAAAAACAATATATTATATTATTAGCATAGCACAATATCAGTATTATAGTGTTCCCTCACTTATTGTGGGGGTTCCGTTCTAGGACCACCCGCGATAGGCGAAAATCCGCAAAGTAGGGACGCCATATTAATTTTAATATTTATACATTATTTTATATATTTTATATATTACTTTCTTACCCACGCTCCCTTACCTGCCTCCCGGCCCATCCCAAGGGTGTCTGCCTGCCTCCCTGGCCTCTGCAGAGCCTCTGGAGTCACGAAGGCAGCAGCAGTATCCCAGACAGGCAGGCCTTCCCCGATGCGCCTTAGGCCCCCGCACTTCCGGGATCCCTGGCCTCCACTGGACGTAAATATTTAATATTTTTAATTAATATTTTCAAAAACAAAACAGTCTGCTAAAAGCGAACTGAGAAGTAGTGAGGGAACACTGTATATATTACTATATTGTACTATACCATTATACTGTAATATTATTAGTAATACTACATGTAATATAAAATATATAATTATAATATTGTATTATCATTATTAGTATTAGGACTAGGAGCGGCTTACTATACACACACACACACACACACACACATATACATACATACATACATACAATATATTATATTATTAGCAAAATACAATATCAGTATTATGTATTACTATCTATATAAATAAAAATGTAATGTTCATTTGTGGTATTCACAGAACTCAAAGACCACTGGACGAATTGACACCAAATTTGGACACAATACACCTATCAGGCCAATGTATGTCCTTCACTCAAAAAATTGATTTTGTCATTTGGGAGTTGTAGTTGCTGGGATTTATAGTTCACCTACAATCAAAGAACATTCTGAACTCCACCAATGATGGAATTGAACCAATCTTGGGACACAGAACTCCCATGATCAACAGAAAACACTACAAGAGTTTGGTAGGCATTGACGTTGAGTTTGGGAGTTGTAGTTCACCTACATCCAGAGATCACTGTGGACTCAAACAATGATGGATCTGGACCAAACTCTACACGAAGACTCAATATGCCCAAAAGTGAACATTGGTGGAGTTTGGAGAAAATAGAATCTTGACATTTGAGAGTTGTAGTTGCTGGGATTTATAGTTCACCTACAATCACAGAACATTCTGAACCCTACCCATGACATAATTGGGCCAAACCTTCCACACAAAACCCCCATGTGGGCCACAGTAATGCGTGGCAGGGGACGGCTAGTCTATATAAATAAAAATGTAATGTTTGTTTGTGGGATTAACGGAACTCAAAAACCACTAGATGAATTGACGCCAAATTTGGACACAATACACCTAACAGTCCAATGAGTGTCCATCACCCATAAACACATGCACACACACACACACACAACCCCAGTGAACAGACTTAATAACCCAAAAATGCACACATATATACATATACACATATGCACATATACATTCACACACACACATATATACATATGCACATGCACACACATATACACAATATGCATGTACACATAAAAACACACAAATACACAAATATATACACACATATATACACCCACATAAACACACACACACACATATATATACATGCAAACACATATATACACAAATATATATATGCACACAAAACATATACACAGACTGGGCCACAGCAACGCATGGCAGGGGACGGCTAGTATTGTACTATACCATCATATTGCAATATTACTAGTAATATTACATGTAGTATAAATTATATAATATATTCGAAGCTTCACTATGTGGTATGTTTTAAAATAAGATTGTGGCATATCCCCCCCCCCCCCCTCCCAAATTTTCAGTCCCTTCAGGAGGAACTTTGCGAACGTGAGACTGAACTTTCTGTCGAGAGGAAAAACGCTCTGAAACGCGACAAAACGATCCAAGGATTAACTCTTGCTTTAAAAACCAAGGAAAACGAGGTACGTGGATTAGATGTTGCTTCTGAAAGTGCTTAAGCTGTGTGCCCAAGGAAGTGAAAGGAAGATGTGGGATGAATTAGATATATCAAGATGAAAAAACAGACACTTCTGGGCCAGTCCCAGCGTTGCGATGTCTAACATCTCTAGTGGCTAACCATTTGACAAAATAGGACACACACAAACCCTTTCCTAGTATTGCTTTCCAGCAATATCCAGTATCCTGCAGCTCCCCAACCTTCATTGCTAGGGATGGTTGACCAGCTTCTCAGATGGGTTTCCGTGTGTTGTAGCTCAGCTGTCAGGGGCTGATGGGTTCACTGATGATTTGGGATTGTGGGGTTTCCTGGGGTTCAAAGTGATGCTGAAGTGTTGAAGATTCAGGCCAGGGAAATGAATTTTTTTCAGACAAGGCCAATCTTCAAAGTCAGTCACAGGAGTCAGAAACAACATCATTAGATAAGGGGTTGAGTGAAGGAGAATTAAGTTATTAGAACCCTGAGTAGTTCTGAGTTCTAAGTAGAACCCCACCGAGAAAACTTGCCCAACATGACAAACTTTAACTACTAGTAGTTTCAGGAGGTTAATCTGACATGATCTGAGCTGTATTGTAAATGAAGTTTTTTGTTTATCTCCGTAAGCATCACTGGTGGTCTTTTGAGACCCCTCTGAAACCTCTTTCCAATCCCCCAGGGGTCTCGACTCCCAGGTTGAGAAATGCTGTCTTAAGTCTAATTTTATAACATTGTAAATGATTAATGGGATGCAGACCAGAGTTCTCTTTTAGCCTTTGCAGGTATCTAAGACCATGGCTTCTTAAACTTTTCCATTTGCGATCCCTTTTTACATGACTCAGTATAACTTTCTGTATAACAGTCAAACTATGTCTTGTCTATCTGGGTGTTTATACCAGAAAAGCTGTTGCTAGTTGAAGTGGCCCTCTTTGATGTCACAAGGAAAGAAAAGTGGCATGTACAAGGGTTGAATGAAAAATAATGCCTCCACCTTCGTAACTCCTCAACAGGTGGCAGTACTGGTATGCTGCAGGTACTGGCTTGTTCAGTAGACTCTCCTCTATAGTTCCATTTTGGCGTGAAGCCTTAGCATTGAATGGTTGTGTTGTTAAAGTGCGAAGTATGGAACCTTGCGCAGACTGTCGGTCAATGCGACTTAAGCAACGCAGTCGTTGAATTCTTGACAGCAGAAGGTGTCACCCCAAAGGAGATTCATCAGAGAATGCAAGCTGTTTATGATGATTGTTTTGATGTCAGTACTGTACTTCGTTGGGTGAGTAAGTTTAAAGATGTTGAGATGGGAACATCTGACTTGCATGATAAACAAGGTGTTGGGCGTCCTGTGACAGCAACCACCGAGTTTCACAAGCACAAGGTTGACAGATTGATTCAGGATGATTGCCGTATCACTCAGAGAGAAGTTTCAAGCGTAATCGGCATTTCACAAGAACGTGTGGGTCCTATTATTGCTTTGCTTGGCTATCGGAAGATCTGTGCACGATGGGCACCCAGGATGCTGGCACCTGAAATGAAAGCGCACCGACTTGAAACTTCATAGACTGGATCTCACCACCATACAACATCCTCCATGCAGTCCAGATTTAGCACTGTCTGATTTGCATCTGTTCCCGATAATGAAAGAAGATGTGTGGGGACATCATTATGCTTCTGATGAAGATGTTGAGAGAACTGTGAGATGCTGGTTGCGGAAACAGAGTGTCGACTTCTTCTGTGACGGCTTCAGGAAACTTGTTCATCGTTTGCAGAAGTGTATCCAATTGTCTGGTGATTATGTGGAAAAGTGAATAGTGGTAGGTAAAGAGCACATTCTAAGGATTATTTCTGTGCTTGATTTATTAAAATATTCCCATCCAAACCCAAGTAATGAAGGTGGAGGCATTACTTTTCATTCAACCCTCGTATATGAGGAGAAGGGATAGAGATAGGAAAGAGCCACAGAGAGAGCCATGTCTTGGAGGGGAAAGGAAGGAAGGAAGGAAGGAAGGAAGGAAGGAAGGAAGGAAGGAAGGAAGGAAGGAAGGAAGGAAGGGAAAGGAAAGGATGAGAAAGGACGAGAGAAGAAGAAAGGGCGTGAGAGAGAAATGTGTCATGGCCAGCTTCTTTTCCACATCTTATCCCACTTTGTCTTTCTCTTCTATTTTTCCCTTCCCAAAGAACGAAGAACTCGGTTCTGAAATTGAAGGTTTGACTGCGTCGTTGGCCAAAGCCAGAGAGACCAACCATAAAGTTCAGATGCAGAAATTCAAGGTGAGGTATTCAGAGCTATTTGTATGATGGTTGCTCTTGGAAATAGGTGTTTTGCATGGCTGATTCTTGGAAGAGAGGATGGTGGTTCGTTAAGCTTTCAATAATAATAAAGGGATTAAATAATAAATGTAATAATAATAAGTATAGAGAAAAAATAATATAATAATAATAATAATAATAATAATAATAAATATACTAAAATAATAAATGTAATAATATAGAAATATAATAAATGTGATAATAAATAGAGAAAAATAATAAATGTAATAAAGTTATAATACAGTAAAATAATAAATGTAATAATAATAATAGAGAAAAATAGTGTCAATGTAATAATATAGAAATATAATAAATGTGATAATAATAAATAAAGAAAAATAATACATGTAATAAAAAATAATAGAGTAAAATAATAAATGTAATAATAATAGAGTAAAATAGTGTAAATGTAATAATAATATAGAAATATAATAAATGTGATAACAATAAATAGAGAAAAATAATAAATGTAATAATAATAGAGTAAAATAGTGTAAATGTAATAATAATATAGAAATATAATAAATGTGATAACTAAATCGAGAAAAATAATAAATGTAATAAAAATTATAATAGAGAAAAACAATAAATGTAATAATAATAGAGTAAAATAATAAATGTAATAATAATAGAGCAAAATAGTGTAAATGTAATAATAATATAGAAATATAATAAATGTGATAACAATAAATAGAGAAAAATAATAAATGTAATAATAATAAATACTAAATATAATAAAAATAATAATAGAGTAAAGTAATAAATGTAATAATTATTATAAATAGGGAAAAGTAACAAAATGTAATAATATTGATAATAAATAGAGTGAAATAATAAATGTAATAATAATAATAATAATAATAATAATAATAGAACAGTAAAATAATAAATAACTTTGACTCGAGTATAAGCCGACGGGGCCTTTTTCATCCTACAGAAGGGGCTGAAAACCTTGGCTTATACTCAAATATATACGGTATTTTGAATTGGTTGAGACTCTATGAGATATTCATTGAAAAGCTATCAAAAAATGTGCTGCAGGATGTCATGCCAAGACAAAGTTTTTGCAATTTAATAAACTTTTTGATGTCTTTATCCAATTAGAAAATAGCATTTATAACCCAGGGAAAAATTGTGTTACATAGTGTAATGATTTGTGGCTTGCCTCTTTGCAAACCCTAATTTGGATAACAAGCCTGGCTTGCCTCTGATACGTGAAAACCGCATGTCGCTGAAGAGCTGGGAAAGAAACAGAAAATATTGTAGTCGGGAAGGATTTCTACGTTGTGTGAGATGTGTTTGTGGCTACAGAAGTCTTTGCTCTTTGGTGTAGGGTGCCGAAGACTCTCACGCCATCTTGCTGGAGAAAGAAAGCCTCCTGGCTGACTTGCGGTCTGAAAACCTGACCAAAGACACAGAGAACCGCAAGCTCCAAAGGCGGGTCAAGAGGACTGAACAAGAGCTGAGCGATTTGCGTCTTGAGAGGGAGAAGCTGGTGAAGGAGCTGGAGGAAGCCCAGCTGCAGAGGAGCAGAAGCGACAAGACCATCAACGTGAGTCTTCCCCTTTCCTTCTATAACTTCCCTCCATGATCATGGATAGATGTGGGCTATTTGACATTTAGAACGACAGAAGGTGCGCTTACCAATTTTTTAGGGGACACCAAATGGGGAGGGATAGTGAGTTTTCTGGGCTGTCTGGCTATGTCCCAGAAGCATTCTCTCCTGCCGTTTCTCCCACATCTATGGCAGGCATCCTCAGAGGTTGTGAGGTCTGTTGGAAATGAGGGAAGTGGAGTTTATATATATACTAGCTTGGGGACCCGGCGCTGCCCGGGTTATTAGAGAAAGTGGTAATGGAGGTTCTGTATGCCAAGTTTGGTCTTTATTGGTCAATGGATGACGGTTGCATTGTTTTCGGGAAGTGAGTGAAGGTACTTGAAGTCCTATCATCCATAGTCCACCCTCCTCCAAACTGCAGCAGGATATAGAGTTGGTCATGGGGGCTCTGTGTGCCAAATTTGATCAGTCATTGGATGAGGCCACCTCAGAAAGTAAGTGAAGGTACTGCAAGTCCCATCATCCATGGTCCATCCTCCTCCAAACTGCACCAGGATGTAGAGTGGGTCTCATGGAGACTCAGTGTGCCAAGTTTGGTCTTTATCGGTAATTGGATGAGGGTTGCAGTGGTCTCAAGAATTGAGCAAAGGTACTGCAAGTCCCATAATCCATGGTCCATCCCCGGCCAAACCACACCAGGACGTAAAGTGGGTCATGAGAGGTCTATGTGCCAAGTTTGGTCCTGATCAGTCATTGGATGAGGTTAACAGCGGTCTCAGAATGTGAGTGATGGTACTGCAAGTCCCATCATCCATGGTTCATCCTCCTCCAAACTGCAGTAGGATGTCGAGTGGGTCATGGGGGCTTTGTGTGCCAAGTCTGGTCTGTATTGGTAATTTTCTGACTCAGCCCCCTCTGGCCTTTTCCTTTCCTCTCTTTGTCATCTCGGAATCTTGGAATTGAGGCTGGCCAATCAGAGACCATATGCAAATTTCCTTCTCATGTCCCCGTTTCTGCCATGAACTCTTTTCTCCACCAGGGGCTCCTATTGAAGCTGGCCAATCAGAGACCATATGCAAATAGCACCACTGCGGCAGCCAATCAGAACGCTGGCACATACTCCTCCCGCCACACTTTTGTCCTCCGCATACAAGTTTTGACTTTTATTATATACATAGATATATGTCTGTGGAATAATGTCCAGTGTGGGAGAAAGAACTCTTGTCTGCTTGAGGCAGGTGTCAGTGTTGCCTCTGGCCACTGTGATTAGCATTGGATGGCCTTGCAGCTTCAAAGCCTGGCTGGTTGCTGCCTGGGGGAATCCTTTGTTGGGAAGCATTAGCTGGCCCTGATTAATTCTTATTTATTTAGTTATTTATCTACAGAATTTATATTCCGCCCTTCTCGCCCCGCAGGGGATTCAGGGCAGATCACAATGCACATATACATGGCAAACATTCAACGCCATAGACACACAACATATATAGACAGACACACAGAGGCTATTTAACTTTCCAGCTTCATGAGGGTATGCTTTGAATTCTGGCCACTGGGGGGAGCTGTTGCTTCACCGTCTACTTGTGACACTGATGGAGTACTTCCTCATTCTTTTGCAAGCTGCTGGAGATTTTCATGGCACCGTAAATTATTTATTTGCGACATTTATATGTCGCACTTCTCACCCCAAAGGGGACTCAAAAGGGATTAAAAGAGTTATATGTATACATACAATACATTATATTATTAGCATAGTACAATATCAGTATTAAATATTACTATATTGTACTATACCATTATATTGTAAAATTATTAGTAATATTGCATGTAATATAAATATATAATTATAATATATCATTAGTAGTACTATTATATTGCAGTACATTATAATATTATAAATATTATATGTATATACAATGTATTACATTACATTATATTATATTATTAGAATATTATTAGAATCTTCTGCCCCCTTCTCTCTTCACTCTGGCCCAGAGCGGCGGACGGTGCTGGGGAGAGGGGTCCCCAACTGATGACATATACAGAGGCAAGGTGGAACTGTCCCCTGCCCCCCCCCCCCTTCACTCTGGCCCAGAGCGACGGATGGTGCTGGGGCGAGGGGGGCCCATCTGATGACATATACAGAGGCCAGGTGGAACTGTCCCTTGCACCCCCTTCATTCTGGCCCAGAGCGACAGATGGTGCTGGGGGGAGGGGTCCCCAACTGATGAATTAAATTAGTTAAATTAGCCTCCCCGCATAAGTGGTACCTAAATTTCCTACTTGACAAATGCAACTGTCAAGCAGGAAAGGGATGGAAAGGTTGACAGCAAGCTAGACAAATGGTTGGGAGCTTACTCCAACCCAGGCTGGCTTCGAACTCATTACCTTTCGGTCTGTAGTGATTTTAATGCAGCTGCGCCACAACCTGGTCTTGTCTGGAATTCCCATGCTTTTTGAGTGTTGCTCTTGTCCGGATTTTAGAGTCTTTTTTTAATACTGGTTGCCGGATTTTGTTCATTTTCAAGGTTTCTTTCTTTGTGTTGGAATTGTGCAGATGCTTGTGGATTTCAGTGGATTTACCATCGTAATCCCTGTGAATCGCACATATGTTAGTTTCTGCGTCTGAGCAGACAGATAGATTTGAAAAACTTTGGTGGTTGGTCCCGCCCACTCTTCCCTTGCGAGTATAAGTAGCAGGTGCCTCAGTTCTTTTCATCCGCCACTTATGCAGCAGTTATGGATCCTCTCTCCCCTTTTGATTAGTTTATTATTATTATTATTATTTTATTCTTCTTATTAAACTGTGTTAGTGGTTTTGTTTTTTGCCTGGACTACACTACATATCAGGCTGGTAATGGCGTTTACCGCCTCGTTTATGAGGGGGGGGGGTTGATTGGCTCGAATGGGTGTGCTATGTGCCTCTGTCTATGGGCTTGCCTTTCTCTTCTGTGCCTCGGAGAGACATATGTTCCTCCTTCACCCCCCCCCCCCCGCGCCAAGTGTGTTAGAACCACAGATTTAAGCTTTTTACTTTTTAAGCTCCGTGGTTGAGAGTGCTCCAGCATTTTTGTGTTGTCAAATAACATTTTTTGTCCAGGTTGGTTCATCAAGTGCTCTGCTATGGCTGACTTCTCTGGTTAAAGTGCCTTTCATGTTCCTCAATTCGTGCCGGGTCAGTGCTGCTGCATTTTGGGGATCCCTATGTAGACTTGTCCACAGCTGCATGGTATATGCAGAGGTGAGAGGGTCCCTATTGTCCTTTGCTAGCATTTATTGGATTTTCTTGGTGGGTCTTTGCAGTATTGTTCCAAACCACCAGAGGGGTATCTTGGTCCACAGATGAGCATCCATGTATCTTTCCCCCCCTTCTCTGCGTAATCCACTGACTGAATAACAGATGTGGTCTTGCATCTCCGCTGGTTCTCTGACTTCTTTTCCTGCGGGATGAGCCTCTGAGAAACTACCCAGACAGCTTCCGTCGTCGTTTTGGCTGGCACGGACATCTGAGAAAAGCTTCTTGTGGCCTGGAGTGTGTGTTTTCTCAGCATCTTGCAAGCCAAGGCTACCTTATACTAATCCGTCTCCATTCCAACACTAAAAAACTAGAAAAATCAATATACGTGGCTGTAGTGTTAACACCTCTATCTGTCTGTAGATTTGGATTTTGAAAGTACAACATGAGAATCCAGTGATATGCAGACTTCCGGATGTGGTTGGACTACAATTCCCATCAGGCGTAGCCAGCACGAGGAAGAAGGATGAGAGCTGTAATCCAGCCACAGTTCATGGCTTGCATGTGGCCCATCTATATTGTGTTTAAGCCGCCCCGAGTCCTTTTGGGGAGAGGGTGTGTGATATAAATAAAGCGTATTATTATTATTATTATTATACCAGCCGTCCCCTGCCACGTGTTGCTGTGGCTCAGTCTTTGTATATGTTTGTTGTGTGTATGTGTGTGTTTGCGTATGTGTGTGTGTGTGTGTATATATATATATATATATATCCATACATACATACATACATACATACACACACACTAGCCGCCCACTGTCACACGTTGCTGTGGCCCACATGGGGGTTCTGTGTGGGAGGTTTGGCCCAATTCTATTGTTGGTGGGGTTCAGAATGCTCTGTTATTGTAGGTGAACTATAAATCCCACCAACTACAACTCCCAAATGTCAAGATTCTATTTTCCCCAAACTCCACCAGTGTTCACATTTGGACATATTGAGTATTCATGTCGTTTGGTCCAAATTCTTCATTGTCTTGAGTCTACAGTGCTCTCTGGATGTAGGTGAACTACAACTCCAAAACCAAAGGACACTGCTCACCAAACCCTTCCAGTATTTTTTGTAGGTCATGGGAGGACTGTGTGCCAAGTTTGGTTCAGTTTCATCGTTGGTGGGGTTCAAAATGCTCTCTGATTGTAGGGGGTCCAAATACAAATCCAGACTACCCAAAGTTCCCATAAGACCCAACACATATTTTAAGCCATGAAGAAAGTCATTCTTAGTGACTTCAGGGGCTGCACAAACAATCTTCATGGGCAACAGATAGACCCTTATTATTTATTTATTGACAGTATTTATATTCTGCCCTTCTTACCTTGTAGGGGACTCAGGGCAGATCACAATGCACACATACATGGCAAACATTCAATGCCATAGACACACTACATATATACAGAGACACAAAGAGACTGCTTAACTTTCCAGCTTCATGAGGGTATGTTCGAATTCCAGCCACCGCGGGAGCTGTTGCTTCGCCGTCCACTTGTGACACTGATGGAGTACTTCCTCATTCTTTTGCATGCTGCTGGAGAGTTTTATGGCGTCGTAAATTGGTTAAATTAGCCACCCTGCAGAAGCAGTACCTAAATTTCCTACTTGACCTCCAACCGGCTTTGCCACAACCCCATCCCCTTGACTTCATGTTGCCCGTCCCCATTCTGCAGGCCAAAAGATCCGCCAATGATAGCTCACCCTTCAAAGAA